ATATTTAAAACTCTTATGCTCTTAGGGTTCTCAATGGCAAACAGTTCAAGCTAGCTCTTTACGAGGATAAGGAAATAGAGGAGTCTGAGTTGAGAAATAATCAGTTATCTATGCAAGCCAGAGGGAATGAATTAAGGGATATTAGTATCACTGTACAGAAGCTTTATGTCCTTTTTGAATGTATGTTCAGATGTTTCAAGTCACAGCCAACAGCCTGGATCAGGTGAAAAAAATGGCCTTGGCATCTAGAACAGGAATTCACTGGTAGTCATAAAAAGGATGGCATCATTGATTGAGAAACACAAGAGGGGCAATTGTGTTAGCAAAGCTTTTAGAGCTGCCTTATTTCATCGATATGAAAAGTGAAAACACTGAAGAGTTAAAACTGACTAGGAGCTAAAAAGCTAAAAACACACTTTTCTTTTTGCTTTTTTTTTTTTTTTTTTTTTTTTTTTTTTTTTTTTGGTTTTTTGAGACTGGGTTTCTCCATGTAGCTTTGGTGCCTGTCCTGGATCTCGCTCTGTAGACCAGGTTGGCTTCAAACTCACAGAGATCCGCCTGGCTCTGCCTCCTGAGTGCTGGGATTAAAGGCTTGTGCCACTGCGGCCAGGCTCAAAACCAAAAACACACTTGTCTTCATGATGTGTGACTATACCTTGGTTTTACAAAATCACAAATAAAGTTCACTTTTAGGTATAATTTGTATATCATATTTAATTTGTAAACTGTAAAATGAAATTTTTGAAAATAATATATTTCCTCTAGTTTCTAAATAATAATTCTGAGAATATAATACAAAATACTTTCCTAAGAAGAATGCAAGTGTTTTCTACTGTCAAAAAGTGGAATAAACAAATAATAATATAAAATTAATCCACATATTAATTCTAAAACTAGTTACTTTGAGGTTTATTGATTATTAATATTTGATGCATAGTAGTAGCTATATAAAATATGTAATTGGAGATTTTTGTGCATTGGAATAATTTACTAAATTCACATGGCTATATTCAAAATAAAAATAATTTATAAAATCTTTTATATGCATATACCTTTTAATATTAATCAATTTTAATTTAGAAATTTTTCTTTTTTTTTTTTTTTTTTTTTTTTTTTTTTTTTT